AGTAGCTTGAGTGTCATCTCGTACACGCTTCGGGAGAGGAGCATCTTTTCTGTGGTCAACACGGAACCTTCTTGCTTCCACAACATCCTTTTGTGCATAAGGGCCTTCAGATGTTGCTTGCTTGGGCGGAGGAACAGCATCATGTGGAGCACTGGTAGGTTGTGATCTAGATGATGTTCCTTCAGAGGTATCATATGGATCTTGAGCTCTTGTTCGCCTTGGTGCAGATGCAGTTTCTCTGGCTTCCTGGTTGGTATCATCATCATATAATGGAATAGCTTGAGTGTCATCTTGTGCACCCTTAGGGAGAGAAGCATCTTTTCTGCGGTCAGCAGGGAACCTTGCTTCCGCAGCATCCTTCCGTGCATAAGGGGGCCTTACAGCACCTCTGGATGATGCTCCGTCCTCCTTAGCAATTCCTTGAACATCAGCAGCTCGTTGCCAAGGCATAGAAGAAACATCTCTTCTCTGAGCAGTGTAGGGTGTCTGAGTTGTCCTTTCCGGTCCTTGAGGCAGTTGCTCATCCATGCTCGCTGGTTCCAGTGCTTCAGTTGAATGGGGCTTCTCAGGAGAAGTATATGTAACTCTCTGGTCAGTAGCTCTGCTAGAAATATTTCCGACAGGTCTTTGTGAAGTACGCTCAGTGTATCGAACTGATTTCTTATCCTGAGTATCAGCATTGGGGGCTGTGTTCTCAGTCCAGAAACCTGACGCCCTGAGTCGGTCAGAATCTTCTTTAGCTGATCTTGGACTGGTTTCGGCATGATCAATGACATTGCTGGGCCCATCAGTTTCAGATATCTCGTCCAGCATTTCTGAAGGTTTTGGTGAGGTGGATTCAGTATAAGGTTCTGCTTCATCAGTATGTCTGCTTGCCTCATAGAAATCATGAAGCTTATCAGATGCTTTTTTGGATGAACTTGGCTTGGATTTAGTAGGGAGGTCTATTTCAGTGGCTTCAGAAGGAAGTGAGGCATCTCCAATTCTGGGCTTATCAGCGCCAGTTCTTGAGGGCTTCTCAGTAGTGGTAGGAGAGGTAGCTGGGGTAAAAAAGTTGATTCGTCTTTCGACAGGAATAGGAGATTTTTTAGGAATTCTAGGAGTACTTTGGACATAGGCTGGTGGAGTTTCTTCATGTGTAGTAGAAATGGTAGTATGTTTGCTTCGGACATCTGAAGGTTTATGAGTAGTAGGGATACTTCGGCTTGAGGAGACTGGTGTTTCATCAGGAGAAGTTCCTGTAGGATGAGGCTCCTCTGCTTGAGGAGTCGTGGGAGATGCTGCGATGATACTAACAGGGGGAGGAACCAATATCGTGTGAGGTTTTGTGCTGGGTTGCTCCCGTGAGTGTAGACGAAACTGGGGTCTGCTGGTTGGAGGATGCTGTCTCCGCCACTGACGCCGCTGCTGCTTCTGAAGTTCTTCCTGTTTGCGCTGCTGCTGTTTGTCAAGTTCCTCTTGTTTGTTCTGCCGCTCCACCTCGTGCATAACCTTCAGCACCTTCTGCCAAGAACCCCGGCTAGAAATAGCATGCCACCACCTCTGCACATTCTTTCTTGAATCATATAGGTACAGAAACTTTTCAGAATTTGTGATGTGGTAGGAGTTTGGCAGGTGTACTAGGTCGGCAAGAGTGAACTTGTTGCCAGCAAGGAATTCACTGTCACCAAGCCTTTGCTCATAAACTTCCAGAACATCTTCTAGCTTTCTCGTCTGCAAGTCTATATCATCATCTTCTTCAGCAACGGGAAAGGCCAAGTGGCAGAACAAGGATCTGCTCGGAGGGTTGAAATTATGCTCTTCATGGTGGAGCCATTCCTCGATGGAAGCCCTCTCAAGGGAATCCTTCCCAAGGAGAAATGGGTATCCGTGATCTTCATAAGTCTCTGCTATATGGCGGCAGATTTCTCTTGATTCTGGAATTGAAGACAAACATAAATTTTGAATAAGCATAAACCAATAATCATTTTCATGAAGACTTCTTTTCAATAGCACAGAAAAAGTGCCAGAAGAGTGGAATACAAGAAAATCTAGGATAAAGTGTGAACGCCGAGAGCAGTTGAACTTTAAATATATATTTCAATATTAATGATAAAATTTCCTTATTGCTGGCAAAATAGACATCACTTCTACTTTATGTGCCACCTACTATGAGAAATAAGTATGAGGAGCAGTTCATCTTAGATCATGTTGCATCCCCTCTCTTAATGGAAAATATGTGCTCTCAGGAACTGCCAGGCTCCTTGGGTCACAACATGATCTTCTGGAGTGTCAAAGTATACTGGTTTTATATTCAGCCCACTAAAGTCCTATATCTATTAGTACGCCAAATATTAACGCCTAGTACTAATAAGAAAGTATGACAATTATTACATCAACTGTCGAAAGAAACTATATTATAGAAAATTTCAGCTTATATACTTCGTATCACATCTTAATAATTATCTCTGTTGGAACATTTATTTGTTCTTCTATTTTTGTTATATACTTATGCTGGTACATAATTTAAAATATATTGCTTGAGTGCCTTAAACCGTATCTAGGACAAGAGGATTGTTGTTGTGATAAAAAAACACAACATGAGAAAAATTATGTGTTCATTTGGATAAAACCCGCTCACTGTCCTTGGCATGGCAACATGTACTAAAGCCAAAATTCTTCAGGCACAATTCAGCATATATATTTTCACAGTTGGCAAGTTTAAAGAAAGCAATTTCCCATCTTGACTGAAATGCTAACAGTTTACAGCTTAATCGGTTAAAAGGACATCATAGCTTAATCATAAATGGACAACATAACTTAATCAAACATCATTGTCTATACAGCTTAAGTAATCATATGATCAAAGTCCATCTACACATGAAGAAACATCATTGTCTTTACACATTCCTTAGACTTACCTAACACAAAGAAAAAAAAACTGAAATTCCACCAATACTCATTACTGTCCACTGTAAAAAGCCATTTTAGAAAAGCTTGCATGATTGCAGTTTCATAATGAGCTCCTGACAAGCACTGAATATACAGACTGGAACATTTATATGATTTATGATGTGCCTTTAGTTTGTTATAGTGTGTTTTGGAAGGAAGCTCTTACCCAGCCCCACATAACATGGCTTTCATCTCAAGTTCTTGATGAGATTTTTCAGTGTGGGCTCATCCAATATATGGGAGAGCTAACATAGTGGTCTAATGCTCAATTTTGTTATTTTAGCAGTGATAATATTCATCCTACAGGTTTTATTTATGAACTACAGGATTGTTTTCCCATACAATCAACACATAAGCATGGCAAACCTAGGATTTATCTTCCATGGAAGAATTTGTCATTGGATAATATTAGTCAAAAAATGTAAAAACAACAACATGATCGGTCATCTAGCTTTCTAAGAACAAATTACACGAAAATAAAATACTAGTGTTTAGCTGATGGAACAAATTACATCAAAAGAAAATAACAGTGTTTAGCTGATTCGCCGTCCCCAAGTAACATGAATTTCTCTGATCTATTCTTTTTATGGAAGCTATATTTCTGGAGTCTGCTTTTATGGCAAGTTAATCATGATCGTAGTTATTTCAGCGTGGTGTAAGTCCATAAAATTCACAATGCTGTTTTGGAACAAACTATTTGGGAGTCTTTAGGGACAAGCAGGAAGTACTAACTACATTGATTAACTACCATTGCAAAACGCAGGAGATATGGTATGGTGAGTGACTGAAAATGGAGCCTGCATATGCCAAAAGGCTCAAGAATAAAATTTGACAAGAAACACTAGTGTGTTTTAGCAGATAATACAAGTTTTGCCAGACTATCTAGATTTTTCACTTATTTCTGATACAGATTCCTAGTTAAGGCCCAATAAATGTCCTTGTAGCAGGCTAACTAGCAAGATCATTCAGCTGTAGAAAAGAAGGATAAGCATCCAGACATGTAGGGCTAAAGTGAAATGCTAATTGAACTTCATAAATCTGAAACCTTACCTTCTAGGAATTTATTAGGTCCATCATAGAATGGAACTGGAACATGGCTCGATGCCTGTAGAGTGCACATGAACAAAATGTAATGATGGTATTGAACTGCTTTGCTAGAAACTGATATCAGACTGCTTATGGTCTTGAACAGCTAATTCCGTGCAGAGTTGAGAATTAGAGACACCACGTACCTGAAGTCTGAGTAGGCTCTTGTAAGAGGAGAATGTCTCTCTCTCAAAGTCGATTCCCTTCTCATACAGGCATGCAAGCACCCTTGACACATCCGGTAAGATTATAGATTTCTCATGATACACCTTCACGATTGGTGCTCCAATGCCAAGCCCTGCCATGGTGGCCAGAGCCTAGGTTACCAGTGCTGAAATGAGGTGACGTATATGTATTAACCCATCCACTGGCCAATATGATAGGTTCCATGACTCTCTGATGAAGCAAAGACAAGATGCTTAAAGTGGGAAAGCAAAGAAGGGAATCGATTCATCAGTAGGACAACAGATGAAAATGAGTGAATATTGAGGAGGGGCAAGAAGGAAACAAAGGGAAAAAGAAAAGGCAAAAGGCTGGCCATGGATCTAGCCCTCTAATCATATTTTACAACAAATTCACCATACAGAAGCTTTTAGCACTTCACATATATTTTTTTTGAAACAGAGCACTTCACATTTTAGGAACTGCTGTAACATCCTAAAACTAGAAAAAAGTAATTCCTTGCGAAATCCAACAAGCAGCAGATCTTGTATGTCCTTTTTGTGCAGACAATGCAGTCAGGGACTGCAAACAAACACATCATTGCCACCATTAGTTTCTTTTTTTTACATGGCCACCAGAAGTTATGGTTTGTAAAAAGAAGCAAACGCTCAGTTTTAAGATAGTAGTACAAACACAACCAAATGGTTATACTGATCCAAACAGACGGTGTAAAACAGGTGCGTTTCATTCGTGGAGTACTAGGTAAAAACAGTGGCCCCGCAGGCACACAGTAAAAGCTAAGCGTTGTCGCCTGCTCCCAACGCCACTTTATTCATTTCTTGGCCCTTTCATCAAAGGGGGGCAGGAAAGTAACCTAGTGATGCAAGTTTAGCATCACAAGGGCCACGGAGCATCACAAGGAACAAAAATCTTGGCACGAATAAGCAGCCAACTCCGACTCATCTTTGTTCAGAGGAGAGTTGGGCATGCATGTGCCTTTGCCATTTCACAAGATGGAAGCAGGACACGAACTTGACAAGAGCATCAACATAATATGCACTCCGTATTGTCGTGCCAAGACCGTTCAAGACGGAAATTTTGCAAGGGGAAACCAGCCATGCAAGAACATTCAAGCTGTGGACAGGATGTGGAAAGATAATCATGACTGAAAGAATCACAGCATGCCCTAAGCTAGGCTTATTATTTCATGTGCAAGTTACAGCCTGTTAAAATCAGATTAAACAATGTACAGTCCACAAGCATTCTCTTCCTATGTTACATGTAACAGAACCCGGAAGTAAATAACCAGACAAAAAAAAAAACTATTGGCTGTGGCCGATGAGTGGAGCTACAGCTGAAAAGTTGCCATCCGGCCCAGTTCACTGTCCATCTCAATGTACTGGCACTGGGTATGCTGATAAACAGGCGCTGATCTTCGCTCAGGCCCGTCCGAACGGATTGCAAGCCATGTACACCAGCGCCACCTTAGTGTCCTCGCCCCCTCAGAGACGAAAAGAATCCCCCCAGGCTTTTGTCCTTGTGCTTTCCGTCGTGCTCATCTCCGACCTGCACCATCGCTTTGGTAAGAACGTGAACCTTGATGCATTAAAGCAAGTCTCAGTCACAAACCTCCTCTGCTATTTTCTTGAGAGCTTCTAATATCTCGGAGAAATCTGGCCTTTCAGCAGGGTCCTGCTGCCAGCACTTCTGAAGGAGCTCCGCAAGCTTTGCATGAGCATTTTTTGGTATTGTGGGCCGCAATCCCTGAGAAGCAGGATTGACATGTTAATAAGATTGTACTCCCTCCGTTCCTAAATATAAGTCCTTTTAAAGATTTCAATATGGACTACATACGACGCAAAATGAGTGAATCTACACTCTAAAATATGTCTATATACATCCGTATGTGTCCGTACTGGAATTTCTAAAAAGACTTGCATTTAGAAACGGAGGGAGCATAAGGTAATTGCATTTATCTTTAAATTAGGAAGTACTGCAGTCACAGAGTTCATAAACACAACTAGATGGATGTTACTGTTTCACTGTAATGCCTTTGATCAGGCAAAGTGGTAAACAAAGCATTGATGTCCAAATATCATTCGTTTTGCTTGTGCGTCAGCGAACCGTTCCTAAGAGTATGTTAACACTGATCATATCTTGAAATCCCATGATATCATGGAACAAAAGAAACTCAAACCAGGTTATGTTATCCGTGCGCAGTAGTCCAAAACATATACGTTCATTATTATGGTTGGTGGATATGATAAATTGAGTAAGAATCCATGTCTGAACATAGCAGTAGTCCAAAACATATATGATCATTATCATGGTACTGTGTGGTGGACATGATAAGTTAGTAAGAATCCATGTCTAAACATAACAAGAACAAAGAAGACTACGGTCATGTAAAAATGACAAGCAATTTTACCTTCTGAACCACACCTACAGCTGCTTGTAATGGTGTCAGGTACTCGTAAGGAATCTGCAGGCAATAGATGTATAAACAAATTACTAACTCATTTAAAACAATGCACTTAACATAATGAACTAACAGTGGCAAAAGAGTAATGCAAGTACCTTCCCAGTGAGCAGTTCCCACAACAAAATTCCAAAACTAAAAACATCAGCCTTGTGGTCGTAGGGCTTGTGTTCTATAACCTATATAACAGATAAAACTTTGTAAAGTGATATACCAATCAAAAATATTTCACTGATGACCTCTATTTCTTGAATTCACCGCCACTACACTATTAAGATACAGAAAATGGTAGTAG